TGGCGTTAAAAGTAAACTTGCAGAGCAGACAAAAATACTATCTATGATAATAAATTTAAGCTAGGAAATAATCATACGAAAACTATATCGATTAGTACAGTTGATTTTCCTAATTCAGATGTAGGAAAAATGTGCTAAAAATTTGACCGTACAGGTACTAGGGTTATTTCATGTTTAGGCACCCTGCACTGTCCGAAAATTGTAGTGTTTTTTTTGGCACAAAAGCTACACAAGAACTGTATGGGATTTTTTTCATAGGGTTACTGACGCCCAACCACATCCTGAAGATTTATACTCTTTCCTTTCATTACCCGACACGACAAATCTACCGTTTCATCTTAATGGAACCTGGGCTCAAGGCTCAGATCGTGGAAGGTTGTTAATGGAAAGTGATGATTCGCCGAATATTGATCGTCAGAAACTTAATTGGAATAGGCATATCTTGTTTGATTTCCTTCCTAAACTTTATTGCTACCTTATTAAAAAAGCGGTCCAATTAAATGTACCAAGTGACAATATCCATCCTATCTCAAAGTTTTGGCCGTTTCCGTACATTTATCAAAATTATCCCAAATACGCAATTGAATACGGTTTCAAAGTACTTGAACTTTTATTACAAAATGAAGAAATCTTGATTAGCAATAACAATGAGAGTGATCGCGTGAAGATTCTCTTCGAACTATTATCATATAATCATATTATAGGACTCCGCAATTTACTTCGAAATAATTGGGATGATTTGAGTAATTATCTATTGATAGCAATATTATAAAATTTATAGATTGAAATGTTAATTCTATATAATTTTGTAGGGATAAGATTTAATCCAAGTTTAAAGACTCTGGTCCGCTCACTTCCTATTTGGGAATCGCTTTCGAATCCGGTCCGCTCATTGTCTATTCCGTTTGACACAGATTCAAATAGGAAACTTTTAAAGCCTGCTTCATGTGGATATATTTTAAAGGAATACATCAGCCATTGTCGAATAAAAACTTCAAAAATCTATTTAAATGCTTATGATGACATTAATAGTAAAATTTTAAACGAACTCGATGTTCCTGAGCGAACAACTTTTGAGTATACTTTTGAGGACGTCGATTTTCCTAAAGAATATGATACTGGTTATTTGCACTTCTTGAAAGATATACTTAACTATAATCAAATTGTTCAAAATTTAAAGGATAAACGCCGTTTTCCCAATTCAATTACAAAGAAATTAAAGAAAATCTCCGATCTATACGATAATAACAACCTGGTTTTTCGAACCGTGTTTGGGGTAGACTCTAGTGTTTTCCTTCATCCTGAATTTTCCGAGTACACAAGGATCCTATCGAAAATTGGATTTAGAAATAACATCGATCAAGATATATTCAAAACGTGTGCCGTTAAAGTAAAGGAATTGCAAAGGGACCCGGAACCCCCATCTGACATACGTTATCGGGGCTTTATTCTTGTTGATCATCTATATAAACATATAAACTCTTTAAATTTGGAAAGCATCGAAGGAATTCCATTCATTCCAATTACTAAAGCCTTACAACCTACATTACAAAAATCCTCAAGTTTTAGATTGCTTGAATAATATAACACTTCCCGCATATATACAAATCGCGTGGAGTCAAATTCCATTGATTGCGGAAGATGTTATACCACCTCAACAAGTGCTTGAAAAATATCCATCATTTGGTAAACCGGGTGTTTCAACTGTAGTCAGACATCTTCGTTTCTTATATTCAATACTTCGGAATGATGACGTATGGAGGAAGGATTGGGCTGATACATTTAAAAACAATATCTACGAGGTTTATAAATGGTTAGATGAAGAATGTGGTTCAAATGAAGATATTGACTTGTTGGAACACATTTGTTCCGAACCATTATTCCTTAATTTCATTAGAAATCAAGATCCATTTAACATTGAAAATTGGGTTACTGCAGACGATTTGGTCTTGAACAGCGAACTTGGTGATGTGAAGTATGTCAATCAAAATCTTGCTAAATATCCTACCATGCTCAAAAGTGCCGGCGCTCGAGAAATAACTCGGCAAAATATTATAATTAATGTTAGAAAACACGACCAATCGCATCATAGTAAAAGTACTTTGTTTAAATTTCTGTTTGATCCAATATCTTCCTTAAACGACGTAACTTTTGTTGTTAATGGTGAAAATATAAAGGCAAGCCGATATATGCTCGCTGCGGGCTCTGAATTTTTTCATCAGATATTCACGTCGGCAGAATCTAGTCCGAATACAGCGCCTTTCATGTTCACTATTAAGGACATTCACCTTAACTCTATGTGCATCTTGTTACGCTATATATATGGACAAAATATTGATGAAGCAATTCAAAATCAGCAAAACTTGAATGAGTATTACCATCAAGATCCAAATTTGACAATGTATAAAGACCTCCTCAAATTAGCAAATGATTATATGCTAGACTATTTGAAAGAGCTTATGGAATTGAGGCTCTCGCGACTAGTTCTTATGTCAAACGTAAAAGAAATGAAAACATTTGCAGAAAATTCGAGTGCAAATCAGCTTTGTGAATATTGCAATAAATTTATTCGCGATAATAGTGAAATGTAAAGAAAGATTTGATAATATACATATGTATTCTTATTCTTTAAGGATCTTTAAAAAAAATTGTTAATTTTAATAGTATTCAAAATATTTGTCAATATTTAAGGATCTGAAAATGTCTAATTAACATTGGAATTGTAATTATGGAATCTTTAATTTTAATAATGCGTCTTTCCCATTATTGTGATGTTTTAATAATAATAAAATTTATCATATCACTTATTATATTTTCGATACAAAAATAATATTTTTGAAAGTATTTATTGAGTCACTAATGTTATAAATATGTTGTATCTTAGAAAATTCTTTATAAATATAGAGAAAACTTGTAATAAAATTATGCATATATCGCTAATCTAAATTAATTTAATTTCAATATATTTCAGTGTTGTCATTTAATTTATATTCATAAATATGTGACCAGTATATAAATAAGTTCATGTTCGTTATCTTGCTCTATACAGATAAGGATCACATTTTTTATGGTGAAATAATCCATTTTTAGGTTAACCGTTAATTTTTTGATTGAGTTAATTTAGGGCGTTCTCAAGCACCTCTCTCAATGTGATTTGTTAGTGATTGAGGTGATGCTCAAGCTTTTATGCTTAATCAAATCTCTAAAAAAAATTGACAAACTTGCTTGCGGAACTTTATCTCAAGCTCCTTTTACCAATCAACAAGTAATTTATCGTTGCAACGATAACATATTCTGCTATACAACCTCTTACGAACCTTTAAATGAGACAGCAACAAGTTATAAAGAATCTTCAGTAAATAATTATTGTAACTTAATAATTTAAAATTTCAAAAATTATTTAGATAACATTCTCACAACTTTGATATAGAAGTGACAAATATTGGTTGTTTTCTTGCATTTGAACATCCTGACACATTTAATTTGCTATAAGAGTGATTAATAAAAAAGTAGTATGTGTTTAATTTACGACCGTTGAAGATCTATAGTGAAAATTTGAGCGATATTTCATCAATGAAAAATCTTAGCCAATCAGCGAAAAAGCTCTCCTTTATTTTTTTTAGTCAATCAGATCATTTATAAGCCCATTGAGGGAAATTCTTGAGAACGCCCTTAATAAAAAACAGAGAAATATAAGATTTTTCAATATAAAATTTATGAAAGTTAAATTTAGTTTTGAATCAGATGGTTCTATGCGCGGAATTTTAGGAATAATAATTTAATAAAGGTTCCTTTAAAAATTAAATAAATAAATACAGTTAAGATTTTCTTTTTCTTTTTCTTTTTTTTAATTGACTAATTAACATTTAATTAACCGATTAATTTCCCATACAAAGGTTAATTGAGAGTTAATTGAAAGAGATTTTATAAAAATCATATTTCTAACACATAATTATTGGCGGCGATTATGATGAAACGTGAAAGTCGTTGAACTTTAGATTTTTATTCTATGGCTCGGTAAAGCACGATGCAATTATGGTTTCCTATTAATTTTGTTAGTATTCGAACTACGCGCATGAGCATTTTCGCATTATTTCACGTGTTTCATATTTTTAACGGATGTGTCATACTTTACATTTTATTTCTTTTTATTTTATTATATATAATTATAAATAGAATTAAAAACTATTGCACTACATTTTTCAAATCTCAGTTCTTCAGCAAACGAGAATCTTCATAATCTTTATGGGCAATTCAAGACCAATAAATTAAATTTAAGAAAATGATATAAAAGCTGCGCAATGATCAAATTATGACATGACAAAAGAGAAAATAGTTAATTAAAAATGGTTTCTTTTAGCCTTTGCAACCCATTCTAATAATAAATTTTCTTCTCTCTTCCTTCCCGTTTATTATGATTCCTTCTGTTTTCTCGATGCATTTGCCGCGTCCTTGGCAGAACGACCAAAAACAACGGTCAAATTAGTGAATGTTACGAGATAGCAGAAAATTTTATACTTTTATAATATTTATTTATTTATCTCAATATTAATTACAAAACTAAAATTCCTTATATATTTGGCATATATATAATTTTTTTTATAAGTAATATGTATAATAATAAGCAATAGTAAAGCTAGAAGAAAATATTTGTAATTGTTATAAAAAATTTTTTTTTTTTTGGAAATTTAAAACATAATTCCCTTAAAACGCAATAATATAAATTTATCTATAATTTATTATTATGGCCTTTATAATTATAGTTTAATTAATAGTTAAAGATGACTTTACTAGGAACGCATAAATATATTTAACATATGGGAGCTGAGCTATTAAAAGTGGTTACGAGACTATCTGTTTATTTCAGATTTTTTTCAGTTTTATAATAAAAAAAAACTGAACCAATCTGAAAAATTTTCAGATTGATCTGATCCGTTTAGAGTTTTAGTTGTATACAATGCTTATATTCTATTAGTGATTTAAACCTGATTATTATGTCATCATTATTTGTTATTTGTCAGGAATTATGTGATTACATTCAACGTTATCACATATTATTTATTTTCATTATTTTCATTATTTTCATTATTAGTATTTTAAAATAAAGTGAAGAATTATATATAAAGTCAAATTTTAATCAATTAAATACCTTTCTTATTAGTTACTTTTTTGATCAGTTAACAATAGTTAAGAAATTTACAAATACTATAATTAAATATGAATTAGCTAATACCTGATTGATAATAATTAGATAGAATTACATAAATTAGTTTATAATCTGATTTTATACTTATTTTTAAATATATATTCAATAGTAACAAATCAGATTCAATTAATAATTAGTTATCAATTAGTTTAATATTTGATTGATGAATATTCTTTAATTAGAATTTACTGATTGGTTATAATTGCTAACAAGTTTCATTAATAATTCATAGTAAAATTCATATAAATTGATAAAATTGTTAATTGTTAAATTTTATTAATAATTTACAAAAATTATTAATAATGACACATTTTTATCAAAGTTTTAATGAACTTTCGTTAATAATTAGCATTATTTCATCAATTTATTAATAAATTTTTATTAATAATTAATGTATTTCAGTTAGAGATTGGACTCGCACTCATGTAACTCGAGTAAACTCGAGTCAATTTCTAACTCGAGTCATTTTTTTATAGACTCGAGTTTATATGTTTATAATTC